AATTCCCAAGTTAGGCCCTTAGGCCCTTAGACTTAGACTTATTTATTTTTCTCAATTCAGCACCCCAATACTTTGTTTCGAACAAATAAACTCTTTAAAGAAAAATGGAAAGACCCCAAATAGTTCAACCCTATTGGTTGGTTGGGGGAGGAAATCATAAGAGTTGAACTCTTAACTTATGGGCGAAAAAGCTTTTTGAATTACACTGTGGTAAGTTAAAAATACTCTTTCGGCTACAATAAAAATTCAAAGTCCTATTATTATCACACATTCTAGGTGGTACCACAAAAAACTTGTAGCTGGTGGGGTTTTTTCATTTCGCCAGCAAACATAAGGTTGGTGGTGGGTTAAATTCAATGATTTCACATTGAAAATTAATATATCATGGACATTTAACTACAAATTCATACTTACCCTTTTTTTTTTTTTCGTTTTATAGTCTTCAACACGTTTGGGTTTTGGTTTTCTTAATTTTTTCGGTCAGCACTAAAAAAATTGAATTGGGCAAGGAAATAAAGGAGAACTATATAAAAGACTGAGACTTTTGAGCCTCTTTGAATCTGACTAGTATTTGGTTCAGGAATCTGAGCCACGAAGAGACCCAATTAACCTTGTTTGTTACTGTAGACTTTTATAAGCCCAAATTAAAGACAAAAGCAATTCAGTCCTGTCCCTTACGGCCGACTTTGGACCCGGTCTCTTTGGTATCTATTAGCAATTTAGCGTATGCTTATTTACGGTCGATTATTCTGCCACTGCTCACAGCCGACCTTGACTGTGTTTGGTACAGTTAAAAAACTGCAGCACACCAAATATGATTATTTGTGAAAAATTTTATAATTTTTTATAAATTAATATTTTATTTATTGCATTATAAATTTTAAAAGTATCGAATTAATACTTATGTAAGATTTTTTTTTTTCAATTTTAATAAAATTAATACATTATTTTTATTTTTTTATTTATAAAAATAATAATATTACAACAATTTTTTCCAATAAAATTTTTATTAAAATCTCCCCGCCACATCAAAGCACACCTTTG